CTTTAAAGCTCAAACAATAACAAAATATGTATAAGGTTGGCCAGATGGTTCTCATAATGTTATTGAAATTTACCAATCAATAAATTCAAAAACTTGATAATACTGATCTTTCGCTATTCGCAATTGCAGTTTCATTTGGTTGCTTCAACGGTTGCATGTAACTGCCAGCTTCATCACCCAGAAAAATTGATTTCATGATTTTACGCCTGAATAGCTTGACGGCAACTATATGTCAGTTTTGTAAGAGTGACCTAAGTGTTGCCAGGGCATCACAAATGGGGCAGCCGTAATAAAAGTAATATTTAAGAAAGGATTCTTCTTATTGTGGTCTTGTTTACGTATGAGAGTCGAGCAGATTTGATATTATGGATTTGACAGAACTTCTACGGAGCAGGGGACATAAGCGCATCCATGATTAACAAAATTTTAAAACGTTTCATACCCTTTTGTCCTGGCATAGATACCGCTGCAAATCACATCGCTTTCTCTTGAATTAAATACAGAACCATGGAAGTCTATTCAGGCTCAGAGAAGTTGTGCAATTATTTATTAAAAAAAAAGAAAAAATGCTCCAATCAATCTGATAAAAATGGTTTTAAATTATCGTTGTAAAAAAACAATGATGATAATTTCAAGAAGTAATAAGCACACGATATTACATGGGATGTTTCCTAAGCCGTGTATATTTCTTGGCAATGTCCCTTGAGTTTAGACATACTGAAGAATTGACTCCTACGTCATTACTCATCTGCTATTTCTGCGCAAAATCAATTGTCCTATCATACTTGTTTCTGGTAATCCTTCTCGACATTTAAAGAAGAGTAAATAGTCAGATGGGCGCAATTGCTCTTATATTTCTGACTGCATAGTAGTGCCTTTTTGGGCATTATATGGTGTCATAGAATAAAGCTTTCTTTGAACATAAAGGCAAGTGTTAAAAGTTTAGACAGCAGTGTGTTCAAAGCTTAGAAAATCTTAAAACAAATTCTGTAATTATGTCAAGATCAAACGTCATTGGAATTTACATGGTTGCGAATGACATCAAAATAAGAAAACGTCCTCAGATATAATAATGGTTTACCTGATCATATACTTGTCATCTTCCAAACTCTTCAGTTCATAATAATCAGGGGACCTTTCTCGCACAAGATCTTCAAGCTCATCAACGTACACAGGACCAGGTAACACTGAACCAATGACTACGCAGATCAGTATAAGAGATAACATACCTGAACTGACAGAATCGTTAACGAAAAGTGAACAGCTGTGAAAGTGATGACTTTAGTGAGAAGTAAGAAAAATGGGTAAGGAGTAAAAGAAAACAGAACTTTTTTTTGAATACTAAAGAACATTCAGTGTGTTCGTGCTTTATATACATGGTAAGTTGTCACTGAGCAAATAAAATGTTACGATAGTTCATATTACTTAGTTCCCGCCTTGGTCTCAAAGCACTCCAAATCTTTACTTCCCAATTGAACACGTGATGTAAAAGGTGCCTTAAGTTTATTTTGGAAGTAAAATGGATAATCACAAATGTATGCAGTTGCTGGAAAAAATGAGGAACGTGAATCTATCTTGCTCTCCGCTATATCACAATCCAGATTATATTGTGAGCATATAATTTCAAAGCAAAAAGCCAAATTCTGTATCTGAGGAGTACTTTTGACATGGTGTGCACATCAAAAATCATCATCATCTTAAAATGCATTATTTGTAATGATGGATTTTTTCAGTGGCGAATTGAAGGATTTCATTTTTATGCATGTTACACCCTTTTCCATTACCGACCCTGCATTATGTGTGTTCAGCGGAAATGGTATTACGAAGTACTATT